GGGAATGACGATATAACTCTTGCAGTAGTTAGTTCTGCTCTGTATAGCTATGAGTTGCGAAAGAAGAACAAACAAGAGACGAAGAATGCAGCAGCAGAAGATAAAACGTTGGTTGCAAGAGGTCGGTCGAAGAGCTAAAAGAAGAATAGACGACGAAGATAATGTTCCAAGGCCAAGCTTGAAAAAGATTAGTGTGATTTCTGCCATGAGAAAGGACATTGGAAGAAAGACTGTCCTAAGTTGAAGAAAATAGGCAAATCTCCTCAAGATGCATATGTTGTCGAGGGTGGAAGTGAAGACTCAGAATTCTCACTTGTGGTTTCACCTTCATTATCTCATCAAGAAGAATTGATTTTGGATTCAGGATGCACCTACCATATGTCTCCTATAAGGGATTGGTTCTTCAATTTTCAGAGATCAATGGAGGGTTGTTTATATGGGTAATGATAATCCTTGTAAGACAATCGAGATAGGTTCAATCCGTTTGAAGAATCGCGATGGTTCGACCATAGTTTTGACGTCAGTACGTGCTGAGTTTGAAGAAAAATCTCATCTCATTAGGAGCCTTGGAATCCAAAGGCTTTGTACTGACTTTGCGAGATGGAGTTATGAAAGCTACATCCAGCTCGCTCGTGGTGATAAAAGGCATCAGGAGGAATAATTTGTATTACTATGAAGGTGATACAGTTGTTGGGACAACAACAATAGCAGATTCCACCCACAAGGAGTCTGAAGCAGTCAAAATGTGGCATATGCGCTTGGGACATGCTGATGACAAATCTTGCAGACATTGGCAAAACAAAGATTGTTGAAAGATGTCAAAGTGTACAAACTAGACTTTTGTGAGTACTGTGTTCTGGGAAAGCATAAGAGAATGAAATTTGGAACGACTATCCATAATACCGAAAGTGTCCTGGATTATGTTCATTCAGATGTTTGGGGGCCCTTATAAGACCCCATCATTAGGCGGAAGACGTTATTTTGTCACTTTCATCGATGACTTTTCCAGATGTGTTTGAGTGTATATTATGAAGACGAAGGATGAAGTGTTTGGTGCCTTCATTACATGGAAGACACAAATTAAGAATTAGACTGAAAGGAAGACCAAGGTCCTACGAACGAACAATCGTGGATAATATACAAGTGATCCCTTTCAATAAGTTGGCCATAAAAATGGCATCGTTAGGCACTTTACTGTTATACGGACACCACAGCAAAATGGGGTGGCAGAGCGCATGAATCAAACATTGGTGGAGAAAGTTCGATGTATGTCGCCCAATGCTGGTTTGGACAAGGATTACTGGACTGAGGTTGTAACATATGCGCAACACCTTATAAATCGTTTGATGTCATCTGCAAACGATGGTAAAACACCGTTGGAGGTATGGTAGGGGAAACCTGTTGCTGACTATGGATCTTTACATGTCTTTGAGTGTCCTACGTTATATCATATGAAGGATTCAAAGTTAGATCAAGAGCGAAAAATGCTTTGTTCATGGGAATCACAATTGGCGTGAAGGGATATCATCTTTTGTGTCTTGAGACGAACAAAACTGTGTTTAGCAGGGATGTTACATTTGATGAACAAGGTATGATAAAGACAACGCACACCCAACAGGTGGAGTTGATACCAAAGCAGGTGGAGATAGATGCGATGACAAGACTACCAGCGATGATCGACGAACCAATATCAAAGGATTCGTCGAATGATGAAGTTCAGACAAGAATCATTAGAGTTACCCATTGCATTGAGAAAGCTCATACGAGAGATTCAACAACCTGCTCGATTGGCAGATATGGTGGCATATGCACTTCCAATTGTTGATGATGACATACCTTTCACTTTTCAAGATGCAATTCGGAGGTTGGAAAATGAGAAGTGGAAAAGGGCTATGGAGGAAAAAATGTGGTCTCTCCAGAAGAATTAGACTTGGAAAGTGACGCAACTACCAAAAGACAAGAGGGCGATAGGATGTAAGTGGGTATTTGCAAAGAAAGATGGATTTCCTCAAAAGAATGATGTGCGCTACAAGGCAAGATTGGTGGCTAAAGGCTACGCTCAGAATGAAGGAGTTGATTATAATGAAGTGTTTTTTCCAGTCGTTAAGCACTCTTCCATTAGAACTTTGTTCGCCCTAACAGCACAATTGGATTTAGAGCTAGCTCAACTTAACCTGAAGACGACGTTCTTACACGGTGATTTAGATGAGGAAATCTACATGACTCAGCCAGAAGGATTCAAAATTCTTGGAAAAGAGAATTGGGTCTTTGTACGGACTGAAGCAATCTCTGAGATAGTGGTACAAATGGTTTGATATGTTTATGATTGGGCAGAAGTACACACGAAACAGACATGATCACTATGTGTATCTAAGCAAGCTGCAAGATGGATCTTTCATTTACTTACTTTTGTATGTGGATGACATGTTGGTTACATCTAAGATCCAAGTGGAGATTGATTATTTGAAGGCTCAGTTGAATCAAGAGTTTGAGATGAAAGACTTAGGGGAAGCTACGAAAATACTCGGGATGGATATAAGCAGGGACAAAATGAGAGGCAAGCTTTGTTTGACTCAAAAGCAATATCTGAATAAGGTACTGCAACATTTCGGTATAAATGATGAGACGAAGCCTGTAAGTACACCACTTACCCCTCATATTTAGTTGAGTGCCCAATTATCGCCAAATTGTGATGAAGAACGAGAGTACATGGCTAGAGTCTCATATGTGAATGCAGTTGGCAGTTTGATGTATGTGATGGTGTGTACAAGGCCTGACATTTCACAAGCAGTTAGTGTTGTTAGCATGTATATGCATGATCCTGGTAAAGGTCATTGGCAAGCTGTGAAATGGATTATACGGTACATTCATAATACTGTAGACGTTGGATTAGTTTATGAGCAGGATGAATTTGGTCAGTGTGTAGTTGGATATTGTATGTGGAAGTGATTTAAATAAGCGAAAATCAAAACAACTGGATATTTGTTCACTTTTTAAAAAGCTCAAGTCAGTTGGAAGTCTACCTTACAATCAACAGTTGCTTTGTAGACAACATAGGCAGAGTATATGACAGTTACTGTAACTGTGAAGGAGGTTATTTGACTTCAAAGTTTGCTTGAAGACTTGGGAGTTGGTCAAAAGCACGTCTTAGTGCATTGTGACAGTCAGAACGCTATTCACTTAGCGAAGAATCAATTATTTCATGCAAGAACAAAGCATATTGATTTTCGCTATCACTTTGTGCGGGAGATCTTAGAAGATGGAACCATTGTGTTGAAAAAGATTAATACGACGAGAATCCTGCAGATATGATGACCAAGGTAGTGATAGGAGTCAAGTTTGAACATTGTTTGGACTTGACCAACATTCTGCATATCTGAGTTGGCGCCGAGAGGCGCATTTGGAGGCACCGCCAGCAGTTGATTTGGATTGAAGAATCGAAGTGGGAGAAAAATTAGTCAAGGTGGAGAATTGTTAGATTATGATTAATTGTTGTCCCACATCGGATATGTACCAAAGATGTGTAGGATTTTTTTAGTATAAATAGGTCCATTGCCTTTGGGTTACAATTGCACCTTATTCTATTATCTCATATCTTAGAAGGAAATTCTTAATTAAGGAAATCCTAATTTGTTGGTTATTTAGCCCTAGTTGTATTTTGTGGTGAGTTTAATAAATTTGGCATTGCGGTTGACGGTGCTCAGAGACGTAGGCAATATTGCCGAACTCCGTTATCAATTTTTGTGTTCTTTTTCTTTTTCGTCTTTTATTTATTTGTGTTGGCTTATTTTTGTTACTAGTAGTGCTTGCCATATTTGTTGTAGGGGTAATTTTGTCCGCCCGCTTGGTGCTCTACCCCAATAGTATCTATGGTTAAAAGTCCCGACGGAATGGTTCCATAACGGGACTGTAGTCATGCCCCATGATTTATATTTTTTGTGAGTTTAGATTGACTTTTTATTTATATAGTTTGTATAACTTTTGTTTATTTAATCAAAATAAAAGAAGTGCATTATGTATTGTGTCAAACGTAACTTCTCTATGCTAATCTTGTTTGTTCACCATAATTACATTATAAGCAAAATTGCAAGATATGCTTATGCAAAAATTAGGCATCGACCTCGTNAAAAATTATTTGCAATTTGATTAATTTTTTGCACAATTGCGAAATTTAATGGGCAAACTATCAGCATATGTTTATATATTTTGCAATTTTGTCTTTTTCCTTTTTCTTAATACTTCTATCTATATTTTGCATAGTCTCAATATCGTCCTTATTATCCTTTGAAATAGTTATTAGTAGTGTTCTATTTATTTAAAAGATTTTTTCACACACTTTATTTTACGTTCATCCTCTTTAAACAATTATAGATTATTTCTTCAAGTATCACTTGTGATGATTGCTTTTTCTAATGTCGATTCAAGGTTAATCCATTTTGTTTGATGTAAGTTTTTATCTTCGTCTATTTTAAAAAAAAATATTTTATTGACAAAATATAAAAATCATAATTCAATTGATATTTGTTAAGCGAATCTTTAAAACTTGCCCACATTATCTTTCTAATTATGTGAATTTTTTGGTCACATGATCTAATTATAACTAGAATAGTTCACACACACCTATATATACTATATATATAGAGAGAATGGATCATATGAGAAATAATGATAATGATAGTGAAAGAAATAAGAATGATTCTCGGCCATTGAATTTAATATATCAATAGTCATGATTCAGTCAAATTTTAAATATGACTGTCAAACATGTAATGACAATTTCATAAATAATTCTATATTTTGTGGTCAAATGTATAATGTTGAGTTGTTGATCACTCATTAAGGGCATTTACGTCATTTTACACAATCCTACCCACCACCTACCTTGTGGGTCCCACCATAAATCTTTGTCTTTCACACACAAATACACAAACAGTTTTAAATCTCTCTCTTTCACACACAGATACACACACGATTTTCACACACATACACACATACACACTATGTTTTTCACGCATAAGTCACCGGATACAGCTGTGCTCGCCGCTCGCCGTCATCAGGTCCATTGTTGCCGCCGTAAAAAACATCCCGAGACGACGTCATGCTCCCTTCTCGATTTGATTGCTGACGAAATCCAGGTGGTCGATGGCGGCAGCGTCGGGACTTTGGAAGCAGTAGAAAGTGGAGGTCCGGTGGTCGCAAAGGAGATTGAAGGCGCGACGGAGGATGAAGATGTTGATAGAGTGACGGAGATGGTTGACCACCATGGTGGATGCGATGACGGCAACTGGTGTTGCAACTAACCTCGGGTCACGGTGGTCGGCGGCGGCGGAGATGGTTGACGTTCTTCAATTTTTCAATGGAGGGCTCCATTTTGTAATGTTGATAATGATAAGTCCTAGGGATCTTATTGCAATTTTCAGAATTTTTGATATACTACAAGTTAGTCCACGCCTCAAATTTGTAATTATTTAAACTATAATTAATATTCGCTATTATTTTATTTAATATAAAAAATTAAATAATATGTTACATAAAAATACAAAAAAAAAAAAAAACATAATAACATTATTTATACATTTGGGATGTCCGACTATTTAAGTTTTATAAATGTTTAAAAAAAGCTGGCATCGAATTGAAACAATCGGGTTTTTAAAAATAAAGAAAGGCAATCGAATCAAAATTTAAAATTTTGAATTAAAAAATTTAGTTTGGTCAGTATCCTTTGTTATTATGCAGTCTAATAGTCATTATTGTAAATTTCGTGCAACCCTAATGTGCACCCGCTATACATAAAAATTAAAATAAATAATAACAATGATGATGATGATGATGATGATGATGATGATGATGATTTTCATATTTTTCAATCGGCGCAAATGGAACTCTTGTCCAAATCAAATTGAAAATGAACATAATTAATAACCGAATTATCCTAAATAATTGAAATAATTTGTTATTTATATTAAAATTATATTTAATATATTAATAATTTATAATTTATTTCTATACTATTTTTAATTGAAAAAATTTGAGTCCGGCCGGTTTTGATCTCTAATGTGCAGTCTGATAGTCGTGATAACGTGCAACGTGTTCTTTTGTAAAGTGCAGCGTGTTGTTTCATAAAGTGCAACGTGTTGATATATAAAATGAAATACTGTAATTTTGCTACGTTGGTATACTTGTGTTTTGTGTGGATAAATATGTTATTGATGTTAAAGTACTATGTATATTTGTTTTTTAGATTTATGTTGTGTGGTATTTTGGAGGGAGCTGTCGACATTAATTATAGACGTGTTGATAGAGTGCAACGTGTTTTTTTATAAAATGCAACGTGTTGTTTTATAAAGTGCAGAGTGCTGGTATTTAAAGTGCACTACTTTATATGATCACATATAAACTATGTGTTTTTGAAAACTATATTTAGTATATATAATTGTACATTGAATTAACCTAAATAATTGAAATACTTTATTATTTATTATTATAAAAGTACATTTATTATTTTTTATATAATAAATTTTACATATTAAAATTTTATCAAATTATTTATATTATAAAAATATATTTAATATTTATGATCTTGTTATTTAATATTTTATATTATTGTTCGTTGAAAGACAATAATATGCACTCGTAGTCATTTGATCAGTAAACCGAATTAAAATAAACATTCGAAATGAATTACTATGTATATCATGAAAACATATTTAATATTAATATTTTTCATTTAATAATTTGTATATTTCCATTGAAAATACCAAATATATATAATGAACATTTTGTTATGTAGTTTGATTTGTTCGGTACTTTAAAAATTCAAGTCGACATATAATCGAGATAACTGAGATTTTAAATTAAAAACATATAATATAGATTTGACATAAAAATTCGTACCGAAAGTTTTAGTTCGGTCAGTTTCAATCACTAATGTGTATTTCCTTTAATACGATGGTGCAGTGGCAGCACACACACACAGACACACACACACACACACACATATATATATATATATATTGTGAATATACACAATATATTGTGCATTTTATTTATAAATAGTATACATTTATTAGAATTTCTATAAGATTTGGTACATGAACCAAATTGAAATATAATCAAATTTCATGAAATTGCAATCAAGCCCTTACAATTTATCTAACTTAAAAAAAGCCCTAATCTCAAATTCCTCTTCCCCTACCTGCACCACTGTGCGTCAGCCCCTCTCTAGCCGGCGCCATCCGACGTCGCTGTCTTCAACAGCCTTTGTCGTTTACCATGTAGTTTCTCTCGCCGTGACCCAACCATGGAGATGATTTTTTTTCTTTTTTAAAAAAAATCCGCCATTAATGGCCACGTGCTATTCTATGTCGATTATTCTGGTGTTGGCTCCCACTGCATCTTAATCGGCGAGGTTGAATAAGGATGACGAATACGATGACGAATACGATGACGGCCGGTTGCCAGGTGGAGGAGGATGTCGGAGACGTCGAGTTTAACGGCGGTGATTTGGAGCTCCTCCAGTGTGGCAGCACGACTGAAAAGACGAATGGGCAGCCGTGCCTAAGCCGTCGATCAGGCCTTGTTCCGATGGGGGTCAGGTGTACGGCGCCAGTGCTGAGTCAGGCGGACACTGTGTGTGTATGTGTGTGTGTGGGAGAAAGAGAGAGAGGTGTCAAATGTGTGAGAGAGAGTTAATGAGAGAGAGAAACATAAGGTGTCAGTTGGGGCCCACATATGAGTTGGTGTCTGGTTGTGGAGAAATTACCACATTACCCTTAATGATGGTAAAATTTTAATTTTTTTTAGCCGTTAGATCATCCAATCTATTGGCTACAATGTATTCTCATTTCTTTCACTGAGTACCTTTCTCACCT